AAGATCCACAGCTGGAGTCACCTGCGGGCACTGTCCCCTCACCGCAGCCAGGGGTCACCCTTCAGAGTCAGCAAGAGGCACGTGGTCAGCTGCAGAGGCCAAGTGCAGGAGCTGGCTGGGGCCTCTGGACAGGCTTGCAGAGCCCTGCATGGGGGCTGGACAGCAGGCAGCTTAGTGCCTCTGGGTGCCTGGCACCCACAGGCCTGGCCATGTGCAGAGGGAAGGACACAGGCTGTGGGAATGGGTGTCCTGCCGCACGGCTCACAGGCTCCCTGGCTTCACCCTGCAGTGACGAAGCTGAGTTTTGGGATAACAGCACCTCGGAGAGCAAGGCCTTAGGGCACGCCCAGCTGCCATCCTGCTGGCCGCGGGCAGCTGTCTAGCCTTGGAGGGCCCCTCTGCTGCCTCAGCACTGCTTCCCACAGGCTGTGCTGCGGTGGGTGTGACAATGTGGCAGTCGCAGGGTTACTAGGGCTCTCCTCATTTGAGCACAGCCTCTCTACCTTGTGGGGACATGCATTTAGGCTGGCGAGGCCCATTGGCAGGACAGCATGTGCCTCTGGACCCACTCTTGGTCTGTGGATTTCCTGAGAAGCAGCAGCAGCAGCCACCGAGGTCCTGGGGTCACCTCTCAGAGTCCTGGCTGGTGAGACTCTGGCTGAGGAAATCCAGGGCAGATCTCTTCAGGGGGAGAGCTGCAGGAAGTGGGGTGCTGGGGTGCTGGGGTGCTGGGGTGAGGGCCACAGGCGCCAGACACAGCAGCCTCCTGGCCTGCTCCCCAGTGCTCTGGGCGAAGGCTTTTCTTCTTGAGGTCTTTCCAGGCTGATGCCAGATGCCAGGGAGTGTGGCCCCTGTCACCTCCACTGAGCTTCCCCCCATCCACCTGCCCTTGCCTGCGGGACTCCACTCACCCCCTTCCCGCTCTTCTCCCTCTTTCCCTCCTCCAGACCCCTCCTGCTCTGCCCTCGCTCCCCTCCATCCCCTCCTTCCCTCTCCTCCTCTCCACCCCTCCTCTAGTCCCTTCTCTTCCTTCCCCCTCCCTCTCTCCTCCCATCCCCCCTCCTCCCCTCCTCTTCCTCTCTCCTCTCCTCCTCCTCCCCTCCTCTTCCTCTCTTCCCTCTCCTCCCCTCCTCTCCTCTCTTCCTTCCTCCTCCTCCTCTTCCTCTCTTCCCCCTTCCTCTCCTCCTCCTCCCCTCCTCTTCCTCTCTCCTCCTCTCCTCCTCTCCACCCTTCCTCTTCCTCTCTTCCCTCTCCACCCCTCCTCTCCTCTCTTCCTTCCTCCTCCTCCTCTTCCTCTCTTCCCCCTTCCTCTCCTCTCCTCCTCTTTCCTCCACTCTTTCCTCCTCCTCCTCCCCTCCCCCTCCCATTGTCTGGGCTTCCCTCCAACCCAGGCCTTGGACTGGGGTCAAATCACAGGGTCCTGGACTTCCTTTCCTGGGCCTTGCTGCCTTCCCAGGAGATGACCCTGGGAGAGCACTTCCTGGTGTGGTAGCCCCAATAGGAACAAATGACCAGGGACAGTAACCCCAGGAGGGCGAGGGGGTGCCCAGCTTCCATCAGAGCCATCCTGAGCAGCATAGGTCTTCCCTGGGCAAGGAAGAGGAGGGTGAGGGGCATCCCCTGCCGCGTCCACCCACTTGGCTGGCTGTGGTCTGGGGGCAGCTTGCTACTTGTCCTCTGAGGTTAATGCCACCATCCTGACCCTACAGTGGGGCCCAGGTGACAGGCCACCCTGGGATGCTGAGGCCACCAGGGACAGCAGGAAGCACTTGGACATCTGTAGGAGAGTCAGGGCTCAGTCTCCCTTAACTAGTGGCTGCTCTACCTGCGCTAGGAGACTGTTCCCTGTCTAGTGACCAGCCCAGGGTCCTCCTGAGGAGGTGGAAGGTCTCCTGCCTCTCTTCCCGGTGCACCTCTCCCAGTACTCTCTTTATGGAGGGAGGGGGAGAGAGAGGAGAGGGAGAAGGGAAGGAGAGGAGAGAGAGTGAGGGGAAGAGGGGGAGAGAAGGAAAGGGAGGGAGAAGAGGGCGGGCGGGAGGGGGAGGGGGAAGGGGAGGGAGGGGGCAGCGGCGCGGAGGGAGGGGACGGAGGGGGAAAGCCAGCAGGCTGTCTCGTCAGCAGCTCCAGGCAGGCCTGCCCCGGGAGAAGTAGGTGGCGAACGTCGCCTGCGTGATCTCAGGAGACGACCACTTTAAATCTTAATTGGTTGCCTTTTAAATATCATTTAAGGGCTGGCTTCCCTGCCTCTCTCTAGTTAAGAAGGTGTCGTGTCAAACTCTATTACCTTGCTGGATGTCTCTCCCTTAAGTTAAAAAAAAAAAAAGAAGGAGAAAAAAGAAAAAAAATGGAACCATCAGCCACGGTTTGAGGGGTCGATAAAGCTTTTAGATTTGGAGACGTTTTCCGGAGCCCATTTCCTGCGGCCAGGAGTTGTTAATGGAGCTTAAGGAATTATCTTAGACTGGGAGCCGGCAGAGCCGTATATTTCCCGCGCCCGTTCCCCTGTCGGGTCTGAATACGCTGCTGTCAGACTCGCTTAATGAAAAGTAACGCGCCGCTGATTACAGTTTTGTTTGGCTCTATGTAAAGAGCGCCGTTAATTTAGCCTCTCCTCTCCGCGGGTTTGCATTGGCCACGCCTGAGTGACCGAGCGTCGGCCCCGCGCCGCGCCGGGCGCCCCGGGAGGGAAGTCGGGGCTGGCCACCCTTCCCCCGAGGAGACCCGCGGGACCCCTTTCCCCCGCCCCCGACGTCCTTCCCCCACCCGGTGCGAGCCCCGCCCACTTCGCGGGCCGTCCCGGCCTCGCGGGGTGGGGGCGCCCCCAAGGCCAGGTCAGGGTGCGCGAGGAGAGCGTGGCGGGCTGTGCCTCCCGAGGCGAAGGGACGGGGCTGTGGCGTCTCGGTGTGGCGGAGCCCCTCGTCACTTGATCCTATTTCACGCAGTCTCGCAGTGCATTCAAACAAGCGAGTTCCCCTGAGATCTGGGGGCTCCAGCGAAGTGGGATTCCCACGCCCAGGGCAGCAGCGACAGGCGGGTCCTGGCGCCAGGGACTCTGCCCGGGAGGTCCTAAGGGCAACAAGCTTGGCCAGGAGCAGAAACCCTCTGGGCCCTGGGGTCGGAGTTGCTCCCTGGCCGGGATCGCCTACCGGAGCCACCGGCGGCGTGCTCGCCCGCGGCTTCAAGGCCCCAGCAGAGCTGCCTGCCACCAGGGCGCCAGGCTGAGTCCAAGTCCCCGGTGTCTGCCGCCCCAGCCTTCATCCCTGCCTAGCCCCCAAATGGCTTATTTCTGCTGAAAATCTCTGGCTTTGTCTAGGGCGGGTGGGGGTGCGCTGGAGAGGCCGCCCTTGGTCGCATTAAAATTCCTGGCGCCCCAGCCTCGGGCCGCAACGCGTCTCCCCTGAGACTCCACTTTCGCTATTACTGTCAAGTACCCTTGACTCTTTATTTTTGCCCTTTTATCTATTACAACTAATTCGAGTTCTTTTGCCCTTTTCAGTCTAAGACGTGGGCTTTCTGCAAAGCCTCCCCTGCCAGCGAGCTCTCGGAGCGCGCAGCCTTTAGAAATTGAGGGGTTTACTGTCAAAATGAAAATTTCACTTCAAATTATCTTGGCTGATGCTCGCTCGCCAGGCCGGGGGCTCCCGCCGCAGCCTTTTGACAGGCACATCAGCGGCGAGCTTCCGAACCTCGATAATATCATCCAAGAGAGTGAAAGTGAAAGCGGTGACAGCGCGGGCCGCTACAATCCAATTACCCGACGGCGGCGGGGCGGCCTCGCGCGCTCGGGCGGATGCGTCCTGCCACGCAGGGTTCCCTCTCCCTCGGGTGCCTAAACTTGCGCCAAGGCTGACCTCGATAGCCAACCGACCAGTCTTCCAGAGTTCCTTGCCAACCGAGGCCTTGCCGCAGAAACCAGGGCACCCGGTCGCCCCAGATGCGCCCCACCCAGAACTCAGGCTGGCAGAAGAAAGCCCAGACCTCTTCTGTCCCTGGAAGTTAGGCTGCCTGCCCGCCTGCTCAAGAGGTAGTTGCATACCTCCAGCGCTCTGCTCCGTCCTGGACAAAGGCCACTGTTGCCCTGTCCCGCACCCCTGTTCTGTCCTGCCCTCAGGAGCTCCCTTGCTTGCTGCTCCGACTTCCCTGTGGCCATTTGGAACTTTTAGGAGGCCCTTGGGAGCCAGAGCAGCAGGCTTGCTGGTGAGCCAGAGGGCAGCACGACCCCTATGAAGGATGCCAGGATGCCCCTGGGGAGATCAGCGAGGACCCCAGGCTGCAGCAGCTGCTGCTGGCGGCCACTCGGCCAGTGGAGATGGGGTTCGAACCAGGGATCTGATGGAAGCCAGGGTTCTGTGCAGGCAGGACCCTCCCCAGGCCAGGCTCTGCCCCTGTGCTCCCTCAATTGACCCTCTAGTTCTGCCCAGCCCTTCTCCCCCTGCCTGGGAGATCTTTCCACCCAGCTCCACCCCCTACAGCCCTAATTTACCTGAGAAAGGGCCTCTACAGGGGGTGAGGCCGGGTTAGGGAAGGCCAATTGACTTCCCCTTTGGTAGGGCAGAGGGCCTCAGCAGGTACTGGCTTTAGGGCAGGGTGGCTCCTATGCACCCCCTCCCCCAGGACCCAGCCCTAGGAATTTGGAAAGTCTAAAATTTGTTCTAATTCAGCCAAAGAAACTCATTTTGGCTCAAAATTCTGGAGTCTGGCAACAACGGGAAAAGTGGAAAAGTTTTTTCTCTGTCCTGTTCTACAGGAGGAGTCCAGCAGAAGGCTCAGATTTCTCAGCCACTCTCCTGTTTTCAGTGGCTTTGGTAGGACTCTGGTGGACTCAAGGGGGCAGGGGGGTCTTGGGTTGACAAGGAGTTTATGGAGGTGTTGTCTGGTGGACACCCACCCCACTCCACCCTGCCCGGCCCCACCCCATTCCTTCCCATGGGCATCAGCACCACCTCCTCTGGCACTCTCAAGCCCCAGGTTTTGAAATGTGTTCACTCTGCAATGCAAACACCATCACTGGGTTTTATTAGCCTCTCTCTGAAGCAGGCAATTATTGGTGTGAACATACATTTTAAAAAACATAATTTTATCGAGTCAAGAATGTGCAACAGTGTAAACTTGGTGGAAGTGCTGTTGGTGAGCATTATGTGCTGAGGATGAAGTCAGAAGATGAGCAGGCTGAGAATTCATAACGAAGACCGGCATGCCCCCAACCCCATGGAGACAGCTACACAAAACAAGCCCAGGAGCCCAAACGCCCTCTCCTTGTACACTTCGGATGTAAACTTGATGCTTCAAGGGTGCTCCCATGTGCTGTGAGAGCGCTCTCCCTGCTGGGTTCAGGAGTTCAGGGGGATGGCTCTGGTAGACTCATGACCAGGTGGGTCCAGGGGATCTTGGTGACAGCACACGCTTCTCTGTGGCCCTGGGGAGACTGAGTCCAGTGCTCCTTCTCAGTATGTTGGCAGCCTTGGCTTGGCCACGCTCTTGCCTTCCTTTGGAAACTCAGTAAAAAAGAGTCTGGTCTTCTGGGCCAGCGCTGGTTCCCTTCTCTGTCATGCTGGACAGGTGGCATCAGGCGCAGAAGGGCTTGCCTCCAGCCTTGGGCATGGCCAGCAGCTCCCTGGCAGCACCTGCAGCTGGGGCATCTTGGGGTGCAGCAGAGGGGAAGGTGCGGGCCAGGGGCGCTGTCAGCATGTTGGCACTGGCCCCCAGAGAGCGTCCCAGAGGCCCAGGATCCAGGAGGGCACCCTTGGCGGTGGCCCAGGCCTGGTTCAAAGTGCTGTGCCTGAGGATGGGGTCATGGAAGACCCCGTCCACCCAGTTTCTAAGACTGGTTACTGGGGAGTCCTGGTGCCTGTCCAGGGCACCGAGGGGTGCCGGGACCACAGAGGAGGATGAGGTGGGTGTGGAGGATGTGGCTGCAGGGGCAAGAGGAGCTTGACGCTTGAGCATGCAGGACGGAAACTCAGTCTGGCTCAGGGCAGTGGCTGCCGCAGCAGTGGCCGTGTGGGCCAGTGACCAGATGCGAGGCTTGGACTCCAGACCCCCTGGCGTCCCTGTAGGTGCAAAGCCCAGCTTGGCCTCGCAGGCCTGTGGGTCACCCTCTGTGCCTGGCTGTTGCTCCTCCCTGGCCACTGTGCTCCGGAGGCAGCTCGGGGCCCTCTCCAGGTCCTCATCCAGGGCAGCTCCACCATCCGTGGGCAAGGGCAGCTGGAGCGGGCCGGAGGCCTCTTTGCCTCCAGTGCCAGGGCCTTCAGGTGCAGCAGGGCCGCGCTCCAGGCTGCTGTCCAGGCGCTGGAAGGGTGCCTTCAGCTCACACTCTGGGGTCTCTGCCTCAAGTGGGTCGAAGTCCTCCAGGTCACTGAGCTCCAGGTCCTTGTCCTCTCTGCTGACAGCCTCTGCCAGGAGAGAACCCAGTCCAGTGGAGAAAGAGAGCTGGGTGGGTCATCGGTCGCCCACTCCTCCTAAGCCACACTATGGAGTCCAGTACTGGACAAGGAAAAGGCCTGAGGTCCTTCTCTGTCTTTCCATCTCCTTTGAAGGTGCCCAGGACTCCACCTGGTGACACAGGGGACTAGATTGATTTCAACCTCTAGTGTGTGTGTGTGTGTGTGTGTGTGTGTGTGAGACAGAGAGAGAGAGAGAGACAGAGAGAGAGAGAGAGAGGGAGGGAGTGGGGGAGGGAGGGAGAGATTCTAAAACTTGACTTGGACTTCTCTAAGTGTGTCCAGAGGGGACCACCACAGTCTTCAGGTGCACAGGGCCTTACCCACAACTCATCTGCTACCCAACTGGTCCTGGGAGGTTTTGTTTTTGCTTGGCTCAACTCCCCTCTGTGCCTGGCTGCTTGTCTCTAGGTGGTAGGAAACCCTGGAAAAGTCCCCTGGAAGCCTGGCTGACCCCAGCGCCAACTTCCCAACTCACCTTCGCCCTTGGAGCTCTTGAGGGGCTCTTCCTGTGCCTCCTCCTCGCCGGCCTCCTCCTCCTCGCCCTCCCCATAGGGCCGCTTCTCCTCTGCGCATTTGTTCCGAGGCGGCCACGTCATCTTGTTCTCCTTCTTGAGGCGCCGGCGCGCGTTGGCGAACCAGGTGGAGACCTGCGTGAGGGTCATCTTGGTGATGATGGCCAGCATGATCTTCTCGCCCTTGGTGGGGTACGGGTTCTTGCGGTGCTCCTGCAGCCAGGCCTTGAGCGTGCTGGTGGTCTCACGAGTGGCGTTCTTGCGCCGCGTGCCGCTGTCCATGGTCCCGTACCTGGAGACAGGCTCTACAGTGGGGCATGATCGCAGCGGAGGGCCAGCCGCCGCCCAGGCCGACCCTGGGGGTAGGGGCAGGGCCGCCAGGGACGCTGGGATGGGCTTTGCCTCCCTGTGTCGGGTTGTGTGTGTGTGGGGGGACGCCTGGCCTTTTGTGGGCGGAGGTCAAAGAGAGTGTCATTAATATGACAGGGAGCTTGGCTCATTCCCAAGTGGGAGAGGTCATGGCCTCTGTCACTCTCCAGAGATATTTCCCTGAGGTTCTTGATGGGGCTTCACTCTTATTTCTTTGATCTCCAAGCCATAAGAACACTTTGCAGGCATGTGACCTCCCACCCTAATATGCAAGTCCCTGCGAGGAAAGGTCACGGTGGACCGGAGCAGAAAGCTGCCTGCTGCCTCAGTGCGTTCAACTGTTATGGTCACCCAAGGAAGATGGAATGACACTGTGGCCTGGACTGGGCATGGCCAGCTGCAGGGTCTCCCCCTCATGGCTCCCTCTGCAGGGCCAGTGGGTTCTGCTTGGACACTCAACCAGGGCTCTACTTCTTGGGGTACAGGGAGGTGACTGAGGCTCCTGAGGAAGTTGCCTTAGTGGACTGGGCCTTCCAGATGCCACGCCCTCAGAAGTTAGAGCAGTTTTTACAGCGTGAGTGGGGTGGGGTGGGGGACTGGGGCAAATTCTAGTTCCCCGCAGTACAGGCTGGCCAGGAGCCTGAGAAGCATGGACCACGGTGGCAGGTCAAGCCTGACTTTAGTGGTAGCAGGCTTGACCTGCCTCCCCACTTCCCAGGAGGGGCATGTTGACTGTGCATGGAGGTGGTGACCACTGATGGTCCCTCACCTGTCGTAGGGGTACTGGCCCAGAGCTGGCTCATAAGGGTAGTAGGCGGCAGCAGCTGCAGCTGGCGGGAGGCCCGCATGCGCAGATCCCGACCCGTCCTTGGAGTCGAAGCTATTCTGTAGGAGCAGAGGAGTCTGGGGTCGCAGCTTCCAGACACCACCCAGCTACAGCCCTTTTCCTAGGTCCCCTGGCTCCCCAGGCTCCGGGCTGAAACCCGGGCAGTCCCCACCACACCCACGTCCACACCTGCAGCAGGCGCTGCCTGAGGCTCATCTCCCTCAGGCCTTGGTTCTCCATTCCCCAAACTGGAGAGGGGACAACTGGAGTTCCGGAAACAGGATAGAAAGGAGAAGGAAAATGAAGGGGGAAAAGAGAGAATCAGAGTGGGTAAGAGGACAGCAGGGGTGGGTGTGGAGAAGGGTCATGGAGAGGCAGACTGGCCAGCCGGGAGAGCAGGTGAACCGGGAAGAAGAGGGCAGGAGAGGTAAGGGAGGATGGGAGTGAGGAGCAGGGGAGGGAGAAGAGGGAGAAAGAGGGGATGGGAGAGGAAGAGGGGCTTGGCGAGTAGAGCCAGTGATCTTGTTGGAATTCAGTGGAAAAACATAAAACAAAAAGTACGCTAACAGCGGTGCACCCGCGGGGCACCCTGAACCTGGGCGGAGTGTGCCCGGTTCCTGATCCCTCTTCCGAGGGACTGATTGGGGAGCCCAGCTGGACGAAGACAACCCTCAGCAGTTGGGGGACCCAGAGGACTCACGACCTTGGATCGAGGGAGTGGGTTTGGCAAATCCAGGGGTAGGGGCGGGGCGCGGGAGGGTTGGGATGCTCCCTTACCAACGAATAGAAGGCAGACGCCTCTGAGCCGTAGGTCACGTAGTTACCATAGCCCTGTGAGCCGCCGTAGGGGCCCCCGTAAACACCGAGCGCGGCAGCTGAGTTGAGTTCGTGGCGCGCAGTGGCCAGCAGCCGGCTCTCGTAGACCGGGCAGTAGACGGGCGCTTGGGCTGAGGCTGCGGGCCCCGAGTCAGCCAGTGTGCGGCCACCAGACTCGCAGCACGTGCTCAGGGAGTTGGTGGTCATCAGGAACTGGAGGAGAAAGGGGCCGCGAGGATGGGCCGGGCATCCTGGCTGGAGGAGCTTCCCCCCAGGGAGTACCTCGCCTCCGTTCCCAGGGGTCTCCCGATCTCCACACCCTACAATCACGGTCCCTCTCTGCAAGCCTGTGAGCCTGGTCTCCTCTGAGCGTGTGGGACCCAGCCCGAGCGCTCCCATCCACCCCAGGTTCCCAAGGCCATTGGCCCTGGCGCTCCAAGTTTGCTTGGTGCCAGGTGCTCCCCCTCCCCGGCTCCCTAAGATCCTCTGGGACGCAGCCTCAGAGCCCAGTGGGTGGAACAAATGTGAATTCTAACGCCCTGTTGGATTTTATCAGCCCATCCGCCCTGCACAGGGGTTCGGGGTCCACCCGCCTGGCACGAGAAGGCCTGTTAGCTGGGAAGAGAGGGTCACCGGCGCGTCCTGCCCACCCTACCTGGTCCTCGCGGGGAGTCCCCTTACCTGGGGAGCCGAGGAGTAGGGGTATCCAAACTGAGGGTAGGACATGGCGGGCGCGGCCCAGGGCGGACAGGCGGGGCAGGAAGGACCCTGCGCGCCGGGGCCGGAGTGGTTCCGCCCCTGCTCCCGGGCTGCAGGCTCCTAGGGTCTGAGAGGACGAAGCGGGAGAGCAGGTTAAATCACCCACACGCTCCGCAAACTTTTGTAACCAGGAAGGAAAGTGAGCGGTGGTGGCCGCTTCGAAATCTGGAGCCACGGGAGGGCTCTGGGAGCGACCGACCCTACTGCGGCGACAGAAATACATATTTTGCAAAAAAAAAAAAAAAAAAAAAGAACAAAACAAAGCAAAAAACGAATCACAGGAACCAAGTCAGATGTGCGCAGTTTTAAGCGTCGGAGACACTGACGTCAGCTCCACGCCGCGCAGTAAGGCCCGGCTGCGGACGTGCGGGTCACTCGGACGCTGGCCGGGAGGGGTGAGGGCAGTCAGGGCCGCGCAAGCCGGGGCGGAGGGCCGTTGGGCTTTAACAAATGGATTCCATTCAAGGAGTCAATATCGGCCCGACAAACGGTGTTTCTCCTAAGTCACCGGAGGACGGAAGGCACTTTTAATTAGAAATTAATTAATGAGCATCTGCTCCTTCCCACCCCACTGTAATCATTAGTCTCAATTACAAATGAGACCTATGAAGGGACACACGAGTGAGTCTTCAGTGAAGATGTAATCAACAGTTAAAATTAGCCGGGCTCGGGCGGCAGCTGCCCGCCCTTCCTCGCCGCGCGCTCGCCCTGGGAGGAAGGACCAGCTCTGAGGCCCCGCGCGCGTAGGCGCCCAGTGCTTCTCGCCACTGTTTAACCGGGTCTCCAGAACGCCTCGCTCCAGCTCCCACACAGCCATGAATGGAAGTTCAGAATCAACTGCAGCTGCCCGTCTGAGGTCAACATGCCCTCATCTGTGTGGGTCCCCGGGACTTTCCCCAGAGCCGGACCTGGGCCGGTGGCCCACGTACAGCTGAGTCTCCCCGGGCCAGCGTCCCCCAGCTGTGCCACCCCTGGAACCCAGCATCCCCGGAAAAGGCCCCTCCTTTTCTCCACTTGAGGTCATTCAAGTTCTTGCTCAGCCCGCTGCCGCAGCTCACCTCCCTCCCCTCCTTCCCCCTCGTCTTCTGCGGGCCACCATCCATCGGCCTCTCCGTGCCCCTCGCGGCTAAGCCAGGGACTGTCAGAAGCCCCTGAGCACTCTGAAGGACAGATTTCCTTGTTCAGGCCCGGGACCCCTCCTGTAGGCTCGCTTCTCTAGGCAAGCGGCAGGGCTGGGTGCAGGGGAGGCGACTTCGGGCGCCGGCTAAAGCGTCCCCCACCTCTGGCGCCAGGGTCTGTTTAGCACAGCTTTCTGCCTGGGGAGCATCGGAGCAAGAGAGGGGGCCGGGTGCTCACTGTAGGACTTCCCGGGCCAGTCCCCGGCCTCAGAACCTTGCCCTGAGTTCAAAGAGAAGGCCAACGCTCCCTCAGGCGGGGAGGGGGCGCTGGGCCACCCGGAACTCGTTCCCAGCCCTTGGCTCTGTGGTCCTCTGGGGCCCACTCTCGCCCCCTGCAGCTCTGCCCCACCGGGCAGGCCTCCCACGGTCGACGGGGAGCGGAGCCTTGCACCGTGGTGCTGTGCAGACTTGCTTCGAGAGATTCCTGGGTTCAGACCTGTGAATCGCCCCAGGGTCACCCTCTAATTAATGGTGACGTTCTCGCCCTCTCCCCAGCTGCAAGGCTGCTCCCAGAAACGAAATCTGCCGGCCCTGACAGCTCTGTTGAAGGTGATTGATGACTATCTGGAGACCGCAGTACACATCATATAATATCTGCTGCGTAATTGCTTTAATTTACAGACGAAAATACGAGTTCTCCGATGGCGTTGGACCGCGGCCGGCCACGTCCGAGCTGCTTGCAAAGGAGAACCATCGGAAATAATGAATAGCCGCTCCATGCAAATTATTCAGACAGTTTAGCGTCCGTAGCCGGGAGAGATATATAAAGAACACGAGTCAAATGACATTAATAATTGTTTTTGAATTCTGTATTGATTTCGTGGCAGGTCTGTTTATTTCTCTCTCACCTGAATTGCTAATACCACCTTCCTGTAAATAATAAGAAACTAGCCACCGGGCTTCTCGGTGGAAACGAATCTCTGTCTCTCTCGCTCTTCCGCCTCCTGCTCCTCCCCTCCCCCACCTCCCTCCTCCCAACTCCTTCCAGTTTTCTGCCTTCGCTGAGGCTTTTGCAGAACATTCTCCTACTTTTCATTATTTATTGTTTACAAACAACTCACTCTCCCCGAATAATGAGGTCGGACCAGGGAGGGGAGAGAGCGCAGGGCGGCTGAGGGCTCAGGGCTTTCGGAGCAGGAGTCAGGAGGGCAGGTCTGGCCCTCTGGACACGCACCCTACTTCTCCAGGCAGGCCTAGGCGGCTGTAAGCGCTCGGCTGGGCCAGCTTCAGCAGTCTGCGCTCTGCTCTGGAATTCCAGTTCGCAGCCAGCAGCCTACCCGGGCTGACAGACAGACAGCCACATTTCCTTTCCGGGTACCTGGCCGGCCACAGCTCAGCTCTTGGGGAAAGATGCCCCCTGAATACGCGGCCATTCATCTTCTAAGCAGATGTGCTCACCGTCGGAGCGTGGGCGGGGGCAGCGCTGCGCGTCCTTGGGGGCCTCTGGGGGAGGGGTTTCGTGGCTTTCTTCGCCCCTCGCTGATTGTTTTCCAGCCTGTGTACGTAAACAGACGCTCCCAGTCCCCACTCCGCCCAGCTCTCACAAGAGGAGACCCTTTACCCCTCAAGAATCCTGGCTCCCCGGAAGGACTCCACATCCTGGGCTGCTGCACACCCACACTCCACTTCCTGCAGGCCCTGGCCTGGGCGGCCTTTGGGGACCTGGTCCAGCCACACCCAGGGGCTTGCAATTGCCCCAAGAATCTCCAGACCTGCTGGGCTTCACCAGGCACCGCTATCAGTCTCTGGCCAGCGAACCCGACCTACTGCTGACAGCTTGCGCCCTGGCTGAGGCTCCCCTACTCTAGGCCATCCTTGTTCCATGAATATATGAGAAATGATCCAATTGCCCTTCCTAAAAAGTCAAGCTTTGGGCCGAGGTACCGGTTCCTGGTCCAAGAGCAGACAGGAGTCCCAGGACCTCAGGGTGTCATCAGATAAATGAGCTTGCATACAACAGTGAGCTGAGTCCAGAACTTTGAGAGTCCCACAGATACAAATACACCCATGAACAGGAGGCGAGGGGTGGAAAGGAGTTGGGGATGAGGGTCCAAGCTGGCCCCAGGGGACAGAGTGGGTTATGCTGAACATTAGGAGCTCATGGAGCACCTGTTTTGCTCCCGGTTGAGGTTGGCTTTTGGAACCAGGGAAGGCCTCTGGGGAGACGGGCAGGCCCTGACCTTCCTGGGATCAGCCAAGTCCTAGTGCTCTAGCCTAACCCACGGGCTACCCCTTCTGGCACTAAGAGCCACGGGGAGCTCTTTCCAGGCAAATTAACCCCATCCGAAAGCGAAGGCTCAGCGCAGAGCCCAGAAGGGCCGAGGAACAAGGCCGAGCCCTTGCAGCGGTGCACCCGACCACTGCTAGCAGGGTGCGGGACTGATGTGTGTTCTAGGAGTCGGCGATGCAGCCAGGGCGAAGCCGAGTTTGGCAGGTCGCTTCTTCGAAGTGCACCCCGAAACCGGCGGCACAAGCTGGTTTAATTTCCCATTCCCCGAACGCCCTCCATTCCTGCCCTCTCTCTCTGCTCTCCCGCTGCGCTCCTATGGCCAGCGGGCCAGCTCCAAGGGCGCTGCCAGAAGCAGGAAGGAGCGCAGTCCGGCGTCCAGAGGGCAGGCCGTGCCATCCCGCTCCTGACCCCTGCGTCCCGCGAGGTCCCCAGCGTCCCGCACCCCGCACTCCGAGCACCGCTCCGGTCCCCTCACCCCGCTTCCCGAAACTTGAAGCAAATGCAGTGGCCTCCGGAGACCCCATCAGCAAGCAGCAAACTTTGTCCCCTCCGGCGCAAGAGCAATCCTCGCAAAGTTTGTGCGGCCGAGCCCGCTCCCTACCTGCGCCGGGGAAGCGCCAGCCGCGCCGCCTGGGCGCCAGGGCCGCGGGGAGCAAGGCGCAGCCCAGGACACACCGGGGAGTCGCCGCCGCCTCCGCCGCCGCCGCCGCCGCCCGCGCCCCTCGGCGGCCGTGAGGAGCCTCCGCCTCCTCGGAATGGGGGGAGGGGTCTCAGAACCCCGGGGCGGGCGCGGGGGCGGGCGCCGGGACCTCGCCTACCTGCGGCGGCGCTGGGCCACTCCTGGCCGCCCGCGAGGACCCTGCGCGGCCGCTCGGCGCGCGCGCTCCGGCGAGGAACAGGCGACAACTAATGGAGACATTTCCAGGCGGAGCACCTGGCGAGCGGAGCGCGCCGGCGTCCCCAGGCGCCGCGGTCGTCAGCCGAGCCCGCACCGGCGTGACGTGGGCAAGCGAGCGAGCGGCTCCCACCCGGCCGCCCATTAACGCTTCCCCCGCGGGCGCCCAGCGCTTGCCAACTTTCCTCTCCGCCCTGCCGGCCAGCTGGGCGTGCGGGGTGCAGGGTGGGATGAGGGGCGGGCGAGGGGGCGGGCAGGGTGTCGGGGGGCTGTTTGGGCGAGGACACCAGGCCCTAAGAAGACTCCCAGCTGTAGCGGGACAGCAGAAAGGCGGCGACACCGATTCTGACACGTTAGGCCTGCTGTGCGGCTCTGGCAGCCTTGGGCTCCGGGCCCCCAGGTCCTGCCTCTCCCGGAGGCAGTGGCTCTGGTTTTGGGCCAGAGCCCTGTGGTGGCCATCCCTGGGATTAGGCTAGATTTTTAGGCCCTCCTCCTCTTTCGCTGCCCCTCCCCCACTCGATCATGCTAAGCCAGAAAACCCCTGGGTTTTATGCCTAGTGTCCACACTGGTCCCAGGCTTTTCTGACCCCAGGCCCTGGGCAGGGACTTGGGCAAGTGGGGGTAAACGGTGAAAAATCACAGAAACTGTTTGGGGGCCGTGTGCCCAAGACAAAGCACTGTTCCTGGGAAGGAGCTGGCTTACCACCCTTCAGAGCCAGGAAGCCTGGACCTGTGGCCTGGGGACAAGCATCGGGATGAACAGACTTCAGCTTCTTCATGGAGCCCAAGGCAGGGGAGGGGGCCTAGGTCCGGATCCCTCTCCCTCCTCTGTCAGCAACAGACTTCTCCCCCGAAGAATGGACACAAGTGAGTTGGTCCTCCCG